AGGTTGTATAGGCTTGACAAGGCATATCAAAGAATTTAGACCTTATCCTGTAGATACTGAGGAGTTATTGATAAAATTTTATTAGTTGTTTTTGATTATATATAATAGAACAGGCCGGGCACAATAGTGTACACCTATAATCCCAGTACTCAGGAGGCTGAGGCAAGAGAATCGCTGTGAGTTTGAGGCCATCCTGGACTACAAAGTGAGTTCAAGGCCAGCCTGAAATGCATAGTGAAACCCTGTCTCAAAGACAAAAAAAAACAAAAACAAACAAAAAAAAAAACATTAATTCAAAACAGTAAGGAAGATATAGCACCTCATATAACAAGAATTTTAAGTAGGACCTCTCCAGGGTTTGTTAATGTAGTTATTCACCAGAGATCCAAAATTTTTAAAACTGTTTGCTGTGCCATCCTTAGAATGTTAGCTTGTCTTTTGACCAGCACAATAGTTCCAAATTCAACAACATACAGCAGCAGAAAAAATTTCCTTCTTTTTGTCTCTTTGTAAGATGAAATCTTTCCCAAAAGCCTCCAGCAGATTTCCTGCCTCACACTAGTGAGACCTCCACTGTGACCATATAGGTGGTATCAGTCTCACTTAATATCCAAGTTCTCTGGATCCCAAACAGGGAGTCGAGCAAGACATACAGAAGTAGTAAGAAAGGCACAGACTTATTAAAGGCAAGTACACTTCATAGAGCAGAAGCAGGTAGATGAGAAAACGCAAGAGTGAGTACGAGTCACAGCAGCTCTAGTCTGTTTTAGGTTTGAGGTTAAAGTGGCTGAGAGAGTTCCAAGTGAGCAGGACTAGCGCAGGCAGCTGTCAGTAATGAACTACATGCTCAAGAATGGAGGGCCTGGCTGGGCGTGGTGGTGCATGCCTGTAGTCCGAGCGCATGGGAGACTAAGGCAGCAGGATCACTGGGAGTTCAAGGCCAACCTGGGTTACATAGTGAATTCAAGGCCAGCCTGAACTACATAGCGAGATCCTATCTCAAAACAAAGAATGGAGGGCACTCAGAGCTCGGGTCCAGTGAGTTCCAGGGCTGGCTTCTCTTTTGTATTCCTAAAATTTGGGAATTGATCAGGGTTGATAATTAATTGGGCTCTGTCCAATTCATTGAGAGTCTCCACCCTCAGGTAGTGAGCAGAGTTTTTTCACTTTATCTGATCAGAACCAGCATGGTTGCCAGAGCCTGCCTGGGCATCAAAACCACAGTGTAAATGGTATTATAATAACCAATGGTACCTTCTAATACCTGAAGCACTTAGGGTGCATGCTGCATGATTTCATGCCAGAGGTCAAGGAAATGTGATAAGGACAGAAATATGTTTTTTTAGGCTCATGTCAGGATGTTAAGGAATATGGTGGCAACAGGATGCCCTGTGGTCTGTAGGCGCCAGAAGGCATCCTGTCTGTTGTGAGCCGAGGGCCAGGATGTCTTCATACTGTCTTTCTGCTACCTCACCATCATTTGCCTGACCCAAGTATGAAAGGGTGAAGGAATCTGGGGATCCACTGTGCTTCCTCTAAGCCCTTCCCACTCAATGCCCACTCCCTACCCATCTTATTTATTTATTTATTTATTTATTTATTTATTTATTGGGGTACTGGGCCTTAACCTAGGGCCTTCACACTAAGCCCTTGGCTCAAACTTGTGATCCTCCTGCATTAGTCTCCCCAGTGTTGGGGTTACAGGCATGTGCCACTATGCCCAGCTAAGCTTCTCAACATGGCAATGTGAATAAATCTCAGAATCATGTATTTAGGGCTCAGGGTATAGCTCAGTTGTAAACTGCTTCCTTAGCATGTGTGAGACCCTGGTTCAATCCCCAGGACTGAGAAAAATACGAGGTCAAGAAAAAAAATTAAAGTCATTCATATGAAATTCAAAAAGAGACAAAATGATCCTCATAACAAGTCATCCCTGTTTACCTTTGGGGGAGAAGTGAGGAATGAATGGAAGAGAGCACAGGGAATTTTCTGGGGTGATCTTATTTAAAAAGATTATATCTCATGGTATGAACAATATAGGTGTCCATTTTTTCTGTTTGTGATCATTTGAGATGCTTCTAGTTTGGGGCTATTACAAATAGAGCTATTATGAACATTCATGTATAGGGTTTTGTGTGTGTGTGTGTGTGTGTGTGTGTGTGTATGTAGTCATATATTTTCATTGCTAGTAGGTAAATACCTAGGAACAGAACTGCTGGATCATAGGGCAGGAACATGTTTAACATTAAAGGAGCCCTGGAAATCTTGTGAAAAAATATAGATTCATCGTTTTTAGTCACCAGAATTTTGAGTAAGTCTGAGGTTCCTAGGCATGTATGGTACATAATTTTAAAAACTCAGAATCACTTGTCTAAATTGTAGTGTAGTGAAGAGGAAGTTATTTTGGTTTGGTTTTCTTTTCTACCACAAAAGCATATAAATGCAACTACTCTTTTCTTTTTAAATCCTGGTTTGCTGAAAAATAACTTTCTTTGAACAGGCCCTAGCTCCATTAGCTCCAGCACTGCAATAGTATCTCTTTTTAGTTTCTAATGCAAAGCTCTGGGTTTTCGGATCTTGCTTAAAAGGGAGTAAAGGCTCAGCCAGCTCCTGGAAGCAGCCCTTAGAGTTGATGATGATGAGTAAACAAAAACAGGTTGTTAGGGCAGAAAAGAACTTTGAACTGAATAGCATTTGAGAGGTGTGGTCCCACGTCTACTGATAGGTTTTCTCCCCTGCTTTCCCTTTCTTTCCTTACTGTTCTACCTGGCAGCCAAAGATAATCAGCTGTGTGCAGGCTGCAGTGACATCTACCTCAGGCGGCTGTGTCTAAGGATCTCACGTAGTAACCAGCCTGAGTGGCTGCACATCACCAGAGAAGACATCCCTAGTTTCTGGGCAAAGAAAATGATACACAGGAATGGGAAGGGAGTCACTTAATGGATTAGAGGCTGGCTGAGCTGGGAGCAGAACCCAGGTGGCCTGGCTTCCAGCCCAGCTGACCACACTGCTACCCACACAGCCTGGGCTGACCAAAGACAAGCAGCCCATTGAGTAATTGCACAAACAACAATGAGTGATGGGTGGTCAGAGCAAGAAACAGGCACCAAGCAACTGTAACTCCATTACTTCCTGGTCCCTAAATTTCCAGGCAGGCCTAGAATGTGTAGTCACTTAAGCGACTTTGACTAGCAACTTGGTCCAGCTTTTGAATATGTATGTGTGTATCTATGTATGTATATATTTTGTGTTTTTGAGACAGGGTTTCACTATGCAGTTCAGGCTGGCCTTGAACTCACTTTGTAGCCCAGGCTGGCCCTCGAACTCACAGTGATTCTCTTGCCTCAGCCTCCTGAGTGCTGGGATTACAGTTGTGTGCCACCACTCCCAGCTAGCTTTTGAATACGGAAATGTTTTGTCGTTACTACTAAAAGAAAAAAAAAGTGGCCTTGTACTGAGGGTGGAGAGTGCCTTTGAACCCCACACAGTCCTAAGGAGTTTTTGGTAGTGGTGTGACAGACTAGAAAGTCGTAGTGAACAACCGAGAGTAATTTGCTCATAGAAAGTCTTGGTGAAACAAGATGGCTTTCAGCTTTTTTTTTTTTTAAGTTAGAATATTTATGGAAATAAGAGAAACAACACTGGTCTCCAGGGGAGACTCGGCATGGAAGTCCAAATTGTCTTCTTGTCCTGCTCTATGTAGATGAGCAGACTGGGGCTAAGAGCTGGCGTTCAGAGTTTTGAGGTTCCTCCTCTGTGGACTTGCTCTGCCACCTCAGATTTAGCTGTGAAAGGGTGAATGTAATCAGTGGAGCTCAATTAGAATCAGCACAGGTGATTCCACTGTTTCATTCCACTCTCCTCACATTTGCCCGCTTGAGGCCCAAGCCACGGGGCTCTGCTTCTTAACCTGTCCTGTCCCAAGCAACTTTTTGAGCTGTGGGCCTAGGAAAGTCCGTGTTGGCTCTAGGCCCATCCCTAAGCTGTCAGTGTTAAACCCAAGGATGTCCCCAAGAAATACAGCTGCCTAGAAATGTCCTTTTCCAGGTGTTGGGAACTGAGGATTTGAGGAAGTGATGTGGGGAAAGAGTTGACTGTGATATTTGCTTTTACATAAGCCTTGTGAGCTATAGTTTAGACATATGGGTACCACAGTGCTTAGAGTCTGAATTAAAATTTAGGATTTCTGTGGTTGGTTATAGCAGTGAATGGTCTTGTTTTGTCACGAAGATCTCTTATTCCTCGATAAACTCTACATTCTCCTGTCATCTACTATTCCTTTAACAAACATAGCTTACTTATGTTCTCATAGCCATATAGCACATAGGAGTTCTGTCATATATAAAAATTGTATGAATGCTACTGAACTGATGTCTGGGATCATGTTTTGTTGATTTTTTTATCCTCAGTATCACTGAGCACAAAGCATTGTACATAGTAGGGGCTCAGTAAGTGTTTGGGCTGAATTATGCTCTAGTGCCGTAAAAGGCATTATGAACACAGGTGCTGCATAACTTTTATCGACGGTACTAACGGTCTTAGGTAGACCTGTCGGTAGGCATCATTGTTATGCAAGTAAACACTTTATAGAGGAGGGTGTTTGCTTCAAGAGTTAAGGGACAAGAAAAGTATAACTGGTCAGAAGTTGATTTGGAAGAAAGGTTCTTAAAATTTCCCCTGGTCAGCCTGGAACGGCTGTGTAGAGTAATTATAATTTCAGTCTTCTCTTTTTAAAATATTTTCATCCTTCTCACCTTTCTAGAACCACCCCACCCCTTTACACTGCTTCCCAAGGGGCTGCAGCCAACTGATTCTGCCCGTCTCAAGAGTTCGCCCCGCCCCCTCCGGTACAAGAACGCTCCAGCCAGGGGCTGTAGGGACGAAGCCAGGAAAGCCGGGGTCACGCGCGGGGCAGGCGCCAAAGTTGCCGGCGCGCGGGGAGCGGCGCTAAGGGCGGGGCTGCTACGGGACGGGGCGGGGCGGGGCGGGGCGGGGCCGGAGGAGGCCCGGGGGCCGCTTGGGTGTCACCAACAACGCGCTCCGGCCGGAAACAGGCGCTTGTTTCCGGCCGGACGGCCGAAAGCCACCGATCCCGAACTGGCCGCTGGGGTCCGAGTGGCGACAGAGCGTGGAGAAGGCAGAAAGACGCTGGGAGAGGGCAGTCCCCATCAGTTCCGTCTGAGTCCAGTTCCAGATCCTGTGCGGAGCCACAGCCGCGGTCGCAGTGTCCGCCGCCGCCCCCGCCTCACCGGCGTCGGGGGAGGGGCCGGTCGGACCCCGGGGTCACTGCCGAGGAATGAGGAGAGGCGGCCGGGCCCCGCGCTCTGCCCCGGCCTAGCGCCTGGCCCGGGAGTCGCGAGGGTAACGGAGCCCCCAGCCCTGACACCCTCCCCGTCTGCTCCCGCCCCTCCCGCCTCTCCGGAGTCCCGACTCTGCCCCTCTCGTCTCCGCTGCCCTCTTCTTCCTGGTTACTGTGTCCCACCTGAGCCGGCTCCGTCGGCCGCGCTCGCCGCACTGCCCCTGCTCGTCCCCAGCTCTCCGCCTCACTCCTCCCTTCCACCTGCGTCCCGGCCCCGGCCCCTCTCGGCCCCGGCCTCCCTTCCCGAGCCCCGCGGGGCGCGTGGACGCGATCGGTGCCCCGGGCTTCCCGGGAGGGGTGGTGGAGTTTCAGGGCGGCTCAGATGCGGGCAGCTGTCTCCATTGTGAGGATAAAGTTCATTTTAAGTGTCAGTATAAAAGTAAAAGGAAAAGAAGCTCGGTGTGCTTTTCGATAGCCAGGTTGAGATGCGTCTAGTAATGGAGGAAGGAAGCGAAAAAAGATACGTGTGAGAGAGATTCTAGCGTAGGTTTGTGAACTTCAGAAAAAAAGAAAAGTTGCCGTGAGTCGATGGAAACTTGAGAAGCTGACGATGAGTAAGCCGGGGGCTGCGTGATCTCACTCTTCTCATAATTACTAGGTTAACGGTGTGGCTCCGGTCGGGATGGACTGGGATTTGTTTACTGGGCCGGCGTATTTTTAGCTTGTCGGCTCGCGAGGACCTGCGCTGAGTCTGTCTCTCCCTCGTGGTGGTGTGTGTCTAACTTAGGTGGCTTCTCTGGGCACAATACGGGTATGAAAATTGGAAAGTTGAGAGAAGACGACTTGAAAGCTTAAGTAGGCGGTTTCTCCAAAACTTTTCAGAGGATTTTCTTGTTATGAATGCAAAGCCAAAAATTAGCAGGATTTGACTTTTATTTTCCTGCTCCTTTTGTTCAGTACTGGAGAGTGAACCCAGGGCCTTACCGAGGGCCACCTCCAGCTTTTTAAATAATTTGAGACAGTGTCGCTACTACAGTTCCAATTTGGGATCCTCCTTCCTCATCCTCCAAGAGTGCTGGGATTATAGGCAGGGCTCACCGTCCCTGACTTTTCTTATTTTTCTTTTAATAAGTACTATATAAAATTCTTTACTTAAAAAAATAAAATGCTTTACTTAGAAAATCAGAGGCTGGTAATTTTTGAGTCTTTGGCCTCTCCTGTATATGTAGGAGATCTTTGAGAAGGTTGGATCCCTTTTCTCTGACACCTATTTATAAGGATAGTGTAGAGAGAAGAGATGGTGTAGTTAAGACATCCAAAAAGTAGCTAATCCCTAAATATTTAAAACAATTTTTATATTACTTTAAAAAACATTTAGATATATTATTTCTTAGTAAATATGGTTACATTCCTGATAGGGTGGAGAAATCTGCAGGGACTTAATGTTAGGTGACCAGGGAGAATCAAACCATAACTTATATATGAATACTTTATAGGCAAACAGTAAAGAATTAATCATAGTACTTGTCCTCGTTGTTCTTCAAGCATATCTTTTAAAGTTTAGCGACCAGCCTGCTGTCCTAGTCTATCGAGATGTGGAATGCTGAACAAAGCCGTAAAATAAATGACATTGATGTCACTCATGTTCAAGCAGAGTAGCAGTCTAATTTCTGCTGGCCAACTGGCATGCCTTAAAGCACCTCTCCAACTAAGTCGCCAGTTACTATGTACTTAGAGATTGCAAATGAATACAAATATTAGCTCATGCTAGGAATAATTGAGAAAGTAAATATGCTGAAAACATATGTTGTATTTCAAAACCAAAATAGATTGCTTTTCGATTTTAATCCCCATTTTGGATCATCAGCACCTTCTGCCAATAATTATCCATTAACATGAATAATTTAGAATTGAAAGGTAGCTGCTTTGGACATTGTGCATTCAAGCAGGCAGATGGAAGATAGTTTCCAAACTATATTTTTTGGGGGTGTTGCCTGATATGACTTATTTATGGGGTTTTTGTCTTGTTGCCCACACTGGCCTTCGGTCTCAATCTCTTGAGTATCTGGAATTGTAGGCTTTTGTTCTGCTACCTCTTTCATTTAATGCCAGATTTCTCTTAAAAAAAAAAAAAAAAACAAACTGCCAAAGATAGGGCTATCTGATGACTTGTATAAGGCAAGACAACGAGTCATAAATGTTGTTAGATTTTTTTGATATCCCTTAGTGGAAAAATGTTTAATTTGGGGATTAAAATCTCATTTTTAAAAATGATACATATCCTCCCAGAGTCTTGACCATCAATAGATGTTTTAATTTGTTCGAGTTGTTTGATGCCAACAGTGGTTATGATTTGTATGATAAATTTTATTTATATGTGTATTTAGCAATTTCCCTTAGTTGAACTGCATATATTGTTGCACAGGGTGGAGGTTGAAGGGATTGACTAAACCTAGGAATAAGCATAGAGCAGCATGCTAGCCCACCACTATTTGAGATTCTGAGAAGGCTTTGTTTGGAGTTTTGAGACTCATTATATGTAACCGAATGAGTTATGATAGAATAATCTAGTTTTTAAAAATCTCTTTATTTTTAAGAGTCTCACTATGTAGCCCAAGCTAGCCTTGAACTGGTGGTGATCCTCAGCTTTCCCAGTGCTGGGATTATAGGTGTGTGCCATCATCCCTGGCAGAATAATCCAGTGTTTAAAAAAAAGCTTTCACATTGTTGTAAGGATACTAAATGCCACTTCTCAAAGTTTCAGAACTCCTGAGTATGACAGGCAGATGTGTATAAATTTCTTTAAGGGAGTACAGTATCTTCTTACCCCAAAGGGAAAATCCTTAAACAGTGCTTTGAAAAGTGACTTGAGCAGTGTCTTCCTTAGGGGAATTCAAGAGCTATGGAATATTAGACTGGATTCTTCTTAGTAGCTCCTTATGTTAAAAATTTGTGTGATAGAAAGATGCAGGACAGTTTTATCATGAATTCCTGAATTCAACTGATTTTTTTCTTTTTGTTATTTGAGAAATAACTATATAGTTCACGCTGGCCTTGAATTTACTATGGAGCCCAGGCTGGCTCAAACTCACAGCGATCCTCCTGCTTCAGCCTTGCAAGTGGTGGGACTACAGCTGTGCACCATCATGCCTTGCTAAATTGATTTTTTAAATATGATAGAAGGACTTTTTTGGGACTATTTTCTTTTAAATAAGAAATCCTTGCTTAATAATTATTGTTACTGAACACTTTTTTTTTTTTTTTTTTTTTTGAGACAGGGTCTCACTATGCAGTTCTGGCTGGCCTTGAGCTCACTTTGCCCAGGCTGGTCTCAAACTTGAAACGATCTTCCTGCCTTAGCCTCCTGCCTCAGCCTCCCAAGTGCTGGGATTACAGTTTGCACCACCACGCCCAGCAAATACTCTTGCAGATAGAGCAGTCTGCAAGCTTCCATAACAGACTTTGGAAAGATAGAAAAGATGTAAAACAGTTGTCCTTTCCTCTGGAGCAGGAATGGGGATAGAATGGTGGAAGATGGCATATAAATGGGAAGGCAGACTATGGTATTAGGATCTTTAACTTTTAGGAAAGAATAAGTAACTGCTGAGGAAATTTAAAGTAATAGTTAAACTTGTGACTCCTGAATGAGTAAATTTTGAAATGGACTTGAAAGGCTGTGGGTTAGTCCTAAAGAGGTAGAATTAGGTGGACCTGGTTCAAATTGTGGTTTTACATTTTGTTATATGACCTTGAACAAGTTACTTTTCTGTCCTTATCTGTCAAATAGATAAAAACATTCAAGTAAAATGAAATGGTTTTTCTGTGTTAGGAATAAGAGAAAAGAAAGGAACCCTTAAATAGAAAGTATAGAATGTACATGGTAGTATGAATGACTAAGTTGTGTGTGCAGGGAATCCATGTGAGGGCCTGGAGAGCATTGTGAGTTGGTCAAGTCATGGGTAGTGCTGACAGGAGGCTCAGAGGCCAGACTGTTGGGTGTGGATTGAAGGTCAATAGAGTCATTGTAGGTCTTCGAACAAAGGGTGGATTTCATGACAAGTATTGAGCCCTTGGCCCAGGAACTGAGGGACAAGGAGTCAGGCGGGCACTGGTCCATTGTGACCCTAAGCTTCTCTTGGTACCATCCGGGCCTGAAAGCATAAAGCCAGGAGCTTCCGGTGATTCCTTGTGGAAGTTTTGGCATTGACTCACCTTATGGTGGGGGATCTCAAGACCACGACTGGGTTCTCTGCAAGAGTTTATGTCTGTAAGGATGGCATTTATTTTAACTGCATTTGACTCTTAATTATCTCTACTGATGTAGGGAGCACTAGAATAGGAATTCAGAGCTTAATGAAGAATTTTGAAAATATATTAGTTTTTTTAAATTTTAGTTTATTATTACATATATGTAGTACATAATGTTTACATTCCTTGTGGGGGGTTGGAACATGTATGTAATACATTTTAATTTCTTTTTCACCCCCTTTCCCTTCTTTCCCTCCCCCTCCACCCATCCCTTGAATTCCCTTCCTTTTTTTAAAAACATGTTGGCAGTACATAATGTTTACATTCCTTGTATGGAGTTGGTGGGGTTTTGTTTTGTTTTGTTTTGTCTTTTTGAGACAGTTTCACTATGTATGTAGATCAGGCTGGTCTTGAATTCATTTTGCAGCCCAGGGTGGCCTTAAAACTTGCAGTGATCCTCCTGCGTCAGCCTCTCAAGGGCTGGGAATACAGGCCTGGGCCACCCTGCCTAGTTGGAAAGTGGGTTAATTTTTTTTTTTTTTCTTTTTGAAACAAGTTCTCGCTATGCAGTTCAGGCTGAATTTGCACTCACTTTGTAGCCCAGGCTGGCCTCAAACTTGCAACGATCCTCCTGAGAGTGCTGAGGTTACAGGCGTGCACCACCACGTCCGGCAAGTGGGTTAATTTTAAAACTAGATTGTTTAGTATTTTGAGGATTGCATTGATGTTAAAATGAATTTAATTTCTAAGCCTTTGTTACCTGATGGTGAGGAGACTGCACTCATGGCAGAGAGCAGTCAACCTTGAATTAAAA